ATTGAGAGTTGATTGATCCTGTGTTTGCAGTCTGAATCACAAATAAGAGTGCTCTTCATGAACAAAAGCACATCTACTCAGGGACATCATCCACGATTTGCACGGCATCATGATGAACAAGTTCATGCAGGAGAAGGAGCGGCGTGGCATCGCTGACAATGAGCAGGCAGGGTCATGAGAGCTATGTATTTTCACAGTGTCTTGATTTCATGTTCTATTTTACTTCAATCATTTGCTGTAACTGTCATCTTTGAGGCCATTCTTTTGATGAACCGCTTGATCGCTGAGGGATTGGAGGCCCACCTTTTGAGCTCTACTAGACTTGTCAGTTTGCAAAGGATGTTGTGGCATATTGAGACAACTTGAAACTGCATGTGTGCTTAGCGTTTTTCAGATGGGCCATCACATTGTTCGGATTGACCACCGCTTCTACTTTGTGACCACGACCCATGCGGATGGAGAGCTGTATCGTGGGAGCCTTGGGAGCCTTTTATAAGTCCACTGTGCATCAAATTTATTTGCAAGCAGCACTGAGTCAGCAATCGTGTACCCCCCTACAAGCATAGTATAGAGGAAACATTGTCTTGTAGAGGAAAATTGTCTTCCAGGGGCCTATGTTCCACTTCCATGATTGTTTCGGGGAGTCTGGACATTACATGTTCCAACTAGTGTACATTACATTGTCAACTGCTTTGGATGAGGCATCGTAGATGGACAGGTGGTGCCATGATCTTAGACTTTGGAATCTTACTTATGAATGAACTTGTCATGTCATCAAGTTGGATGTGTGGTGTCATGAAGTTATGCTTAGACTCTTTGCCCAGGTTCACATCTCGCGGTCTCTACTTCCGCTGCATGGGTGATGACACGGGCGGCAGTTTGGGGAGGGCACCCCCTGGCAGGGTGATCAGTTGGGCTGAGGCCAATGCGCTGAGGCCATAGGATTGATCGCTTGGATCGAGATGTGGGGGAAGTGGTAAAGTAAAAGTTAAGAAAGTAACTTCCCATTTGAGTTGACTTAAACTTAAACTACTTAAACTTAAACCATGCAAAGAGTTTCGTAACTTGGCATTGACGCTTGAGATGAAACGATGCCCACAGATCGAGACATGTAGAAGAGCTTCAGTGCCAGACTCTGGCGCCATTCGCTTGAAAAAGATCCGGTGCAATTATATACAAGCCTTTCTTAGCAACAATGCACATTGTCCTTCAGGTCAAGTCCAAAAGTTGTCACTGCCACTTCCATTTCAGTGTTTGCTGAGGCTCCTGGCTGGCTCACTGTTCTCCACTCAGTGCATTGCAGCTCAACTTGTTCTCCACTTGTGGCTTGCATTTGTTTTGTTTAGAGTGTTGAATACTATCTTCATTCTATTGAGTCATTTGAACTTGATTAGCGGCAAGAGTTCTCTTTATTCGAAGTCACTGGCCAAGGCTACTCTTTGGACCTGCTCATGGCAAATCGATGGTGCCTCTTGCTTGTTTAGCATTTTCTGGAAATGGCACTCCGTCACTCAGCCTTGTCTTGTGTTTCAGTCACTCTTTCACTTCAATCTTCTTTATCTTGTGTTCCATCTGGTGTGCTCAAAGAGGAGTTGGGGGGGGGCCAAGAATGGGTTTTGAAGATCAAGGAACAAATGAAAAGACCTGAGAAGTATCAGTCACACATTAGAATCAATATTAGAGCAAAGTAGACCACTGCAATTGTATCACAATGAACTTGCCTCCAACATGGCTATCACAGCCTATCACCATGTTGCCATATGTAAGAGATATGTGACTCACATAGTCCAGTTCATTTTGTGTCATTTGTCTCTGGCCATAGTTCATTGTGATGCTCGCATCGATGGTCTATGACAACGTGCTGTTGGTGGCGTATGGTGTGGAGCGGGAGTACAGCGTGTGGCGTGGAAGACATCTTGGCAAAGAGTGCATGCCTGCCTGGCTCAAAAGAAACTGGACTGCATTATTGGAGGCCAAAGGTTTGTTTTTGATGTGCATTGAACTGTTTGAGAGCTTGCAACTGTATTAAACATGTGTGGGTTGTGGGTTGTGAGTTGAAGAAATGTGAAAGCTGACTCAGGTAGGTACAAGACGGCCACACACATTTCAGTGGATGTCAGGGCATTTTGGAATGATCCATACGATAAAGGCGCTGGGGTGGGGTGAAAAGGATGCATGTCACATTCAGTCCTTTTATGGCAACATATGTCACCACTTTGTGTACAATGATTGAAAGAGTCCTGTGTACCTGAAACCGCAGATGATGACAACAACGTTGTGGAGAACACGATGGCCTTGAAGAAGATTGGACAAACAAGATGTTGTGAGAAGGCTGTGAGGCTGATCATCAACCAAATAACTGGGTTTTTGAAAGTCTTTCCCGACAAGCATGACCTTGTGCTCTCTGTCATTTGTTTCTTGATCCAATTGGACTCCGTGTGAGCAGCGTGCAAGATTGGAATGAACTTGTTTAAGCTTTCTTGACAAAAGTAAAACTGAGGCTCTCAGGGCTATCACAGATCTGCGTCGGCGGTCATTATGGTGAGCAAAATCCTTGGATGTGCATATTTTCTCCCATCACATGTTGGGCCTCTTGGCTGGAGTTTGCCAATCATCAGCCATGGATGACAAAGCAACTCTTGTCAAGACTGTGAGTTTGGGTGAGAAGTGTTTCTTGATTCAACGAGGTTGAAGGCAAATCCTACATATCAACTACCACAATCATTCGATGAATCTGCATCAGCGTGGGCAAATGCCTTGAAGAATGACATCGACCTGGAGGTCTCTCAACCGGCTGCACCATCATCCACTCCAGCGGCACCCGCTCCAGCGGTATCCGCTCCAGCGACATCCGCTTCAGAGGCATCCATGCCAACAAAGCCAGCTGAATATGAGGAGGTGGAGGCCGATGAGGACCAGGAGTTTGCAGGAGCACCATGGAGGAAGAAGAGGCGATCAGTTACTTGGCTGAGCTGTGAGGTCTAGTTTGTCACTAGAGAAACCCTTGAATTGTGTCAGTGCATGAACAATTGTTCAAACAAATATCTATGTCCCTGAAATGTCCTTATGGCTTCAGGATCACGGCAATGAGTGCCAGTGGGTGACCTTGGCTGCTCCATGCAAGCTTTGCTTGAGGCATTTTACGCCTGGACAGTCTTGTGCAATTGTCTCCACTGATTGAATCTTCAGTGGAGAATTCCAGCTTTGCTGACACGTCAGTGATCAGCCGGACATCAATCATTGATGATCCTTCGTGTAAGCGCTCTCGTATACAAAGGATGTGCCTTCATTCTGCTAGGTCTGTGTTGCGTGTTCCACATTCCAGTGCTGAGCAGCTGTTGTTGATTCTGCTTGACCAAGAATCATGCCAGGTGCATCCTTGGTTCATTGTGCTCTTCATCTATATCGGTTTGGCCCTGAACACTGCTTTGGTGTGGCATTGCCCGGTGAATCTAGCATTTTATTTGTGCTTCACTGTCCATGCATTTTTCATGGCAAGCTCACATAGCAAGCTCATTGAAGTCTTGTGGTGCAGGATGCGCTGCAATTGGATGCTATAGCCTGGGCCTTGTCCTGCTCCAACGCTTTCCTGTTGTTCCTTGATGTTTGCGCTGACAAATTTAAAAACAGTTCAGTTTGATGGGCAACTGTGGAGGTGCTTTTCTTTGACGTTCCTCTGTGTGTTTGGTCCTGAGAGTTGCTGTTGTGTGAATATACATTGTCACACGACAGCGTAAGCCTTTCAGAACTTTGATTAGCCATGTCATGTTGAAACCTTTTCAGTTCAAAGTCCAGTGAAACCGTTTGGGCGTGCAAGGTCAAGGTGCGGTGCAATTGGACATTGAAGCGTGGGCCTAAATACTGGAGACACTGTTGGGCTTCTAAGAGCAGCTTCTATTTTTCAATCTTGAGACCAGTGAATGTTGTTTCCTGTTCATTGAAGCTCCGCAACACTTAATAAGTGGAAGCTGCAGGTTGGTTCAGGCTGCATAGGAAGGCTTCAATTTGCCATCGATACTACCGTCGCCAATGGCTATGGCTGATCTGGGTGAGTGGATTGTCATTGATGATAATCAAGAAACACATGATGCTAACCGCCGGACATTGAAGCGCCTGAGAGTCCTTCGTGGGATGATGCAGCTCTTTGCAGAAGCACGGGTCCCTATGCCAGATCCTTTGCGAGACTTGATTGAACAGGTGAAAGCCAATCATTTGGAGGGCACTGACACGATCCCAAAGAGAAAATGGGAGGGGATCATGCAATCAGCCCGGCAGGCTTTGAGGGAAATGCAGCGTGCAATTTGATACTGTTTGAGATGTGCGCGCACTCAATTAGTTCAGTAGTGCATTCATGTTGCGCATTCCATGTCCTTCAGAAGGCATTGACATCATTGTAGCATTTTGTGATAATGTTGAGTGGAATCAATGTTGAGGAAGGCACTGGAGTGTGAACCGTGATAATTACAGTACTTTGATCGTGAGGGGACAGCTCTCTGGTCTGAAAATGTGACAGCGCTGGATCGCAATGTGTTTTGGTCGGTGTCTGACAGTCACATTTGAAGTGGATAGTGTCACAGCACTGTGTTAACATGTGTGATCAAGTCAACTCGATTTTGTGCTTCCCAGGCTCCATGTGGGTACTATGTTTGCTCGGTCCCATCCTCACAGACCCCTTATTCCTGAAAGCATTTCTCTTGTGATGTCTGATTTGGTTACTTCTTTTTGAACTGCATTGATCTCTTATATTTGAGGCCTGCACGTGGAGAGTTCAACTAAAGCATGACCGCTGGCATCTCAGAGTTTATAAGTGTGTGAAACCAAAGTACAGAGAATATGCACTGCAATTGCAATGAGAACGTTGGCATGATTATCATGTCAAGTTGCAGATTGTGTTTGTTTCTGTACGCCGGTCTCATATATCGTGTGCATCTCTATGTCATGTAGGCATTTGGCCGTGCTTTTCATTGGTGTGAGCTGAGATTTTGTTTATAGCTTCCGCCATGGGACGTGGCAGGGATTCAAAGAGAGCTCGAATGACTCCGCCAATGATGCAAGGGTGGAATCCTATGATGGCAGGAGGACCTATGATGGGTGGATGGAATCCGATGATGGCGGCCATGATGGGTTCGATGAACCCAATGATGATGGGTGGCAACCAACATGTTGACGATGGTTCATCATCGGATGAGGGGGCGGCATCACAGGCAAAGGCTGCGCCAGTCCAATCTCCAATGACTTGTCCACCAATCAGTTCTTCATCAGCAGGTGCGGACCCGTTCCAAGATGCTGCAGCTGTGGCTATCCACAACTTGAAGGAGCGGAGAAGTGCTCTCTACCAAACGAGTGCGGACAAGATCATCACTCGCAGTGCTGCCATGATTCGCTCGCTCCCCAAGGACAGAACTACTCAAACATGTTGTTTAGGCCAGGTCTTGGAATACTGGTGAATACCAAAATGGTTGTCAGTGTCTTCATTGAATTGAATCTCTAAGTGTGGACCTGCACTTTGCATGCAACCCTGCAGAAGCACCTTTCAGAGTGTATCGAAGCACTGGATGAGCATCTTGATCCCACGGCAACATCCAGTTTGAGCCTGCTATCACTTTGCCGCTTGATCTGGCTGCTCACAAGACAGAAACCATCTGTGTGTATCAGCCGTCTGAGGGTATCCAGCTACGGTGAACTCTACACGAGGTTGTGCCAGCGTCATCAATTGATCCTGCAGAATTCCTCTGAGATGCAACAGGCCATGGCAGCTATTCGGCAGGAACCGCTTCTCACAGATGCTTTTGTCCAGGCAATATCTGAGGCCCAAGGATGGTGTGACCACTGGATGACAGAGGTTGAACCAAAAGCCAGAGGGCGAGGGGCCAAAGCGGTCTCTGCAGACCTCCAGGCTGCTTTGGCGGGAAACCGCCTCATCCCTGACATGCTCAAAGCAGCCGGACCTGCGCCAGCGGGACAGGTGCCTGCTGCTGGTCGGATTGGAATGCCTCTGCCTCCACCTCCCAATCCCAATGCCAGAGTGCCTGTGGCTGCTATCGTTCCGGATGCAAAGGCACCACCACCTCGCCCACCTACTCTTCCTGCTGTGATGGGTGTATTGGGTCAGGCTGCCATGCCCTTGGATGAAGGCAACGAGGTGAATGGGAATGATGGCAATGATGGCAATGCAGTTCCTCAGGTTGCTTGACTATTATTGATAGATCGCGTTGTTTGATCTTGGCATGTCCATTCATTATCAAATCATGGTTCCGATTGTTCTCAAACCCTTGCACTGCCTTGTACCCCCAAGCCTGGACTGGACATTGGCAAGCTTCAAGCGTGTTATGTTTAATGCAACCTCTTGAATTGAGACATTTGTGTGTATTGTGAGGCCAGTGAGATTGGCGGCAATAGCTCTGATGAGCCTGCTGCTCCGCCTAACCTCATCGCAGATGCTGGTGGTGCTCATGATCATGGAGATGAAGAGCCACTTTGTGCAATCTGTCAACAATCGCTGAGGCCACAATCGGAGGAGGTACAAATGCTGGAATGTGGACACGTGTGGCATTCAGCTTGCTTGGAGGACGCCTGGAATGTGGGTGGACATCAAAGGGGGTGGTGCCCCTTCAAGTGCAATGTGAATGTGGCAGCTCAAGCGAATGGTCCTGGGCAAGGGCAGCAAGGCAATGCAGCAGCAGCAGCAGCACCGCCAATGTTGGCACCAATGATCCTTTGATCCAGTAACAATCTGGAGTGAGCAGGCTGTGGAATGAATGGGTGAGTGGAGAGAAGGAGAAGAACATTAAAGTCTCTAGGAAGTATGTATGAAGTTTCTATGAAGTCTCTATGGTGAAGTCCAAACTTGGTGACGTCTCTATGTTCATTGTTGCGTGAGTTTCCACTCTAGGATCGGAGCAGTCTGCGAGTGTAAGGATCCAAACTAATTTGAGCAGTGTTCCTTAGCCCACGGGCAGGGGAGTACCTCTGTGAGCTGGGAGGGAAAAGAAAGAAAAATCTGTCTGGTGGAGTATTTGGAGTGTTTGCATTCAAGCATTCTTCAGCGTGTGAGCATTCAGCATTCTTCAGTTTGCATTCAAGTACATCGGAGTTATTGCATTCTATTGCATTCAGTTTCTGCATGTGCATTCATTGCTTGTCATTGGAATCAAAAGTTGCATTTGCATTCATTTGCATTCAATGCTTTGCTTTGCATTCATTGTGAGTTGCGTGCATGTTCACTGGAGTCAGTGTTCACCGGATACTCCTGTAAGATAGGCCTGACAATGCAATTGCTGGTAGAGAACAGTAGTAGAGAACATTTGCTGCTGCCCGGAGAGTTTTTTCTCAAATTTGCTCAAAACTGCTCAAAACTGTCTCAAAATGTCTCGAAATGTCTCAAACTGTCTCAAACTGTCTCAAACACACAGTACTGTCTCAAAATGTCTCAAACATGCATGAATGAGACAAATGGAGAGAGAAACAAACAGAAAAACAGAAACAAGTAAACATGAAATGAACAATGAATGACTGGAAAGATACAAACAAGACAGTGGTTGGGCGGGGCCATGACTAGCAGAGCAAATGTGAATGGAGTGGCACGGCTTCAGGAGCAGATCAAAGCAATCCAGCAAAGAGAAGCAATAGTGGATCAAAAGTTGCTGGAAACGAGCAGGTTGATTGATCAGCAATCAATGGCTGCAGTAGAGGAGTTTCCTCTTGATCCCAATGGTGTGATCACAAGTGAGGAACCAGAGCAAGTGCAAGAGTGGACAGAACAACTGAAGGATTTCTTCAGTGTTGATGACCGTTGTGGAGGTAGGTGTCAACAAACGTGGCCACGCTACATTGAGAAGGCCTATCCATGGATGCTGGGGTGGTCGCTGGAGGCAATGCTTGTTGCGCTTCTCATCAGGACCCACCATCACAGAAGAAATGGACGGTGCTGGTTACAATACTTGGAAGTATTTGCAGGAAAGGGTAACCTTTCAAGGGCTGCCATAGAAGCAGGTCTGCAGGGGGCATCGTTGGACATAGAGATGAACCAGGACCACGACATTCTACAGGCGTATGGACTCAAGCTGCTTTTGTCTTGTCTGACAGCCACTGTGGCGGGGGCATTGTTGTGGGTGGCTACACCATGCTCTACCTTTGTCATCCTTTCATCGTCGGTCTGCAAGCGGACTTTTGAAAACCAATATCTTGGTGACATCCAGCGGTATTGTGTGCAGGAAGGCAACGTTTTAGCTGACTTGAGTGGTCTTGTACTCCTCCTGGGCTTTTTGCTATCTCTGAAGGACGGCGTGGAACAGCCATCGAGTAGCGTGATGCCCTGCACGCCTGCAATCCGTGCAGTGTTGGAGTACATTGGGGGAAGGAAAACGGAAACCTTTCACTTCAACTTCGGAGCTCCAACATTAAAGCCATTACAACTATGGAGCAGCTGCCCATACATGACAAGAATGAAAAGGGATCGACCATCAGTGGCATGTATAGAAGCATCAGCGCTTGCTGAAAAAGATCAGACTTCAGGTGGTTTCACTGGACGGAAGGAGCTACTGAAGGAGTCACAGGAATACACCTTGGAGTTTGGCCGCAGTGTGATTTCTGCTCTGCTGGAGGCACGGAGGCCCTGAGTACTTCTCCATCAAAGGCAAGTGTGAATTTTGCATAGCCGCATAGCCTCTCCAATTCAATTTAATTGAACCCAATTCATTGACACAATTCTGGAGTGCAGTGACAAAAGAGTTTGATGCTCATGGAGCCTATGCAAGATCAGGGAACACACATTTAAACCCATGCATTGATGCATTTGTGTGATAACATATGACACATCTCCGCCACTGTAGGGATGACACGCTCTGTGCCATTCACAATACTAAGACGTTTGCTGGCGCTGAGGTTGAGCCAGTATACCATCTACCAAGGCTTCCCTCTCTTTATTGAGGCCAGGTTCTTCACTCTCTTTATTGTCGTGTTTGATTGATGCAGTACATTCTTCTCAGCAAATGTGGACTCGAAAAATTCAGTCATCCATTCAAAGGACTCACTTCATCTTGTAGCCACTATTTACATCAAGTTGTTGACTTGCGTATAGAGCCAATTTTGTCATGGCGCATCCATCGGGTCCCTCAGATGCTTTACAAGTATTTTGCTTTTGGCTGGACAAGCGGCGGGTGATGTTTGGCTTCGATCAGATTGAAGAAGAAATGGCAAGATGTGAGAGTTTGAAGGAGAGTATTGAGAAAATCCTTTGCTATACTGGAGAGCGTGTGGTGCTGAAACCTTTGGCGGCACTTTGGTCCGATCTGATGCTGTTGAAGGCGCTTTGTCAATTGCCTGAAACAAAAGGAAGACGTCCGTTTTGCTGGCCAGTCTTCCCATCCATCATGCTTCATGAGCTCGGGCAACTTCCGCTTCGTATGCCTGTGGTTTCAAAACCACTGATTACTCTTGCTGACAGTCCTGGGGCGAAGTGTCTTTGTGATCAGCTGAGCATGTCCATGAAGTTGCTGGACACAATTGTCCAGGATTGTGAAGATGATGATGTTCCCACAATGGCCTTAACTGAGATTCGAGAAGTGATTGAGGAAGTCTGCCTGATGTTGCAGCGCGTTTCACAGTGAGACGTTTCATTTGGTGTGGCCTCAGAAAATTACATGTGCAGTCTCTGTGTCCACTGTTGATCAGCAAACAAAGATTGCAGAAAACGTTCTTCTAGGCCTAGTGATCAAAGCAGTGCAGACTTATTTTTGTTTTTTCTTTTGCCAGGTTCAGTGGCTAGCGATCAACTGGGTCATCTCCTCAGCCATTCACTGTGCTTACATGAAGGTGCTTTCATGGTGACTGAATTCATTAAATGGATCATGATCTTCATTTTTTGTGTCACATATTCTTTGATGGTGGTTTGTTACAGTGATGTGTTACATTGCAGTCAAAATCAGTTTGTCTTTGCTCACGCAACAACGCGTTGATACATAAAACAAACGGTTCTTTCCATCGTGTCCTTTGCTCATCAAGGATAATCATCAGCTATGTTGGACAATGAAGAATGGACAATTGAAACATGGAGTCAAGTGCTAGTCATTTCAAAGCTAGAAGACTTTGCATTCATTCATTTGCTCCTTTGTTCATTCAGTCAACTGTAGTTTGGATTCATTTGAATGCGCTATTAGATTTTATGTATCAATGTTATTGCAGAGCCAATGTCAACCGCTCAAATTGGATGAGGACCCAAACCTCTTATCCAAATCAGGGCATCTTGTGACAACAAACACAGGTGAATGTCAACTGTGGTGGCGTTTGGACTTCCTATATGACAAGTTCAAAGAGCATGGTGGTGAACAAAGGAGTCTTTACAAATGGATCCAATTTCTCAAAGAGAAAGTTGGAGAAACGGAGCTTTGTGGTGATTTCTTCTGTCACACCAACCAAAGCAGCCATCCAGCGAATGCGATCCGTGAGAACTGTGCAACAACAAAGGCAATTGTGGCATACTTCTATGTCATCTTGAAGGAATCCAGAACAGCTCGCTCGCGACAGTTGGTTTTTGAATGGCTACCAGCTATATGTCAACAGGTCATTTCCACGATTGGCTTGACAACCAGCATAGATGTTGAAAACATGATCAGTTTGTACATCTCATCAGCAGGCATGGTTTCAGACCTTGAGATTTTGCTCTCTTCCCATCACCGTGCCAGTTTTACGGCCTTTCAGAAAGAGTGGAACTCGATGTGTGAGACTGGAGAGCTGTCTTCTGAAATCATCAGTGATGCCAATTCCATGTGTGCGCTACAGGATTTGCTTCGCTTTGTTTTTGCAGTGGAACGGAAACGGAAGTTGTCAGGGAGTCATCCGTGGAAGAGGAACAGTGTAACTGGCTCTATACTTTGGAAGATTCAGGCAGGGCTGATTGAGTTTGTTGCAAAAGGCATAGACGACTTTGTCAAGGGGCAGTACATGGCAAATCATGACACTTCTGGAGTGCTTCCATCCAGACGCAGAACTTTGCAAGCAGAAGATGCTATTGTGCCTGCTGGCCAACTGGTCAGAAGAAAATCCAGCAGGGTTTCTATGACTCCAGATGCAATATATGAATTGTTCAGTGAAGCCAGAGACACGGGCGTTTCAATGAGAGCAGCAGTCCAATTGCTGTCTGGTGGAAGACTGAGCAAGGTTGCTGGTTGTCGGCCAACAGCAGTGCCTTCATGGGTTCGCAGGGCGCTGAACCTGTATGATTCAAGGGTTCAGCTGTCCCTAGTTGGTGCAACGCATTACAGTTTGGTGGCTGATGCTTCAACACATGGTGGCAAAGAGGTGCTTGTATCAATATGCTACAGTCATGAGTCTTCCACGGCTGCATTTGCGACTATTCAGGTAATACTACCTGAGAACAAGGTGGCCCCCATGGAGATGGAGATGACATCGTTGGTGGAAAAACTAGCTCAGGACACTTAGCTGTTGCAATTGTCATATCATGGCAGGTCCTTACTAAAGTGAGGTCTGACTTCAATGACTTTTTGGTTTAACTTGATGTCAGAAGTCTATGTTTGGGCGCTATTTATTTTGGAGTGCTACAGCACTAACTAAGGGAAGACGTTGTGGTGACACGCCGTTACACATCAAACAACCCTGTTGAGGAAAACAAACTGGAGAGGCTTGCGTCCTACCGTCAGATCCAAGCCATGTCTCAACAATTGAACTTCTTGAGCAATGCACGGATCCCAAATATTGATTTCT